GAGACCCCAGAACCCAAAAACGTATTTTAACACCAAAAACGGCAAAAACGGCGATTTGGGAATGTTTGTGTTTACACAAAAGACCCAAAACCCAAAAACCCTGATTGTAAAATTGATCCACCGGCCTGGGGATCAGGACTCACCAGGCAGGGTTTGGTCACAGACAGGGTCTGATCAACGCCCCCGCGCTGGTCAAGACCGCCCCGGGGGGGGGCTTTGATCCCCAAAACCCCTCTCCAAGCTTACCCCAGGTTCCCCAGGTATCCCCCCCATTATACCCCGGGTTTTAACTCCAGGTATACCCGGGTATACTCCAGGTATGCCCCAAGTATACCCCAGGTATACCCCGGTATACCCCAGGTATACCCCAGGTATACCCCCAGGATACCCCATGTTTTCCCCAGGTTCTCCGGTTTACCCAGGTTACCCCAGGTATGCCCAATTACCCCAGGTATATCCAGGATCTCCAGGCATACCCAGGATCCCAAGTATACTCCAAGTATACCCCAGGTATACTCAAGGTATACTCCAGGATACCCCCGGGTTACTCCAGGTATACTCCGGTGTACTCCAGGTTACTCCAGGATCAATTGAATAAACTACAGAACACTCGACTCAAAATTTTTTCAATCATCATTTCTGTAAACTAAAAATTTAAAATCTAACAACGGGCTAAAACCCCTTACCAGAAAAAACACAAAGTTATCCACATAACAACATGCTGAACACCTTCCAAACACATCATGTTATCCTACATAAAAAAAGGGGAACCTTTGCCAGAACACATCATATTTATCCTACATAACAAAGGTGAACACTTTACCAAACCCACTATTTTTCCTACATAAAACAGGCTGAACACTTTGCCAGAACACATCATATTTTCCCTACATAAAACATGGGTAAAACATTTTTGCCAAAAACCATCTTTTTATCCTACAAAACAACTGGTGAACACCTTACCAAACACATTAGTTATCCTCTAACAACAAAAACACTCGCCCGTCCTGGGCAGGTCACCCAAATCCAAAACTCAACATTCCCCACTGACTTCCACCTATATATCCTTCTCCAGGTTGATTGTTTGGTCTTTAAAAAAGTCTACTATGTGAGCGAAACGTTGTCATAGGGATCACATTATTGTATTGCCTTATTTTATTTTAGATTTTATATTATTTTTTACTAGTACTTAATTTTGTTCGTATTTCACTTTAAGTTTCAAAATATTGAATATTTAATTATTATTTACTCATATTAACTAACATTCACTAAAAATTTACTCAAAATTCACCCCCAAAATTACCCCAAAATTCAGTCAACATTACCCAAAATTCACCCAAAAATTCATCAACTTCACCCAAAATTTTACTCAAAATTCCTCAAAATTCACCAACATTTTCAACATTCACAACATTCACTCAACATTTTACCCAACATTCCCCAACATTCACTAACATTCACCCAAACATTTACTAACATTCACTCCCAATTCACCCACTTTTACTCAACATCATAACATTTATCAACAGTCCCAAATTCACCCCAAATTTTACCCCCAAATTTCCCCAACATTCAAACAATTTTACCCCAAAATTCACTCAACATTCACTCAACTTCCCCAAAATTCACCCCAAAATTCACCCCTTCACTCAAAATTTTACCCAACTTACTAAATTTTCCCCCAAATTCACTCAACTTCACCCAAAAATTCAATCAAAATTCACCCAACATTCACTAAAAATTTACCCAAGTTCACCCCCATTCACTCAACATTCACCCCAACATTCACCCACATTCACCCAACTTCATTCAAAATTCAAACCACATTCATTTTAAATTTTTCCCAAAATTCATTTAACTTTACCTAACATTCACTAACATTTTCCCCCCCTTTACCCCATTCATCCATTCACCAACATTCACCCAACATTATAAACATTCACTAAACATTATCTAACATTCTCTAACCCCAATTCACCCCAAAACATTATCAAAATTCCCCCAACATTCATCAACTTCATAAAATTTAACCCCAACTTCACTTTAAAATCACCCCCAAAATTCACTCAAATCCCCAAATTACCAACATTCACTCAACATTCACCCCTTTTTCCCCAACATTCATCGACTTCACCCAACATTCCTCAAAATTCACCCCAAAATTCATCCAACATTCACTCAACATTTCCCCCAAAATTTACCCAAACATTCATCAAAATTCACCCAACAGTCACTCAAAAATTCCCATTAAAACCCCCCCATTCATAAGCATTCACTAAACATTCACCCCAAATCTTCAAATTCTTTAAACATTCACCAACATTCATCAACATGTCTCAAATTCGCTCAAAATTCAACCCAAAATTCACCCCCCATTCCCTCGCATTCACCCAATATTTAAATCAACATTACTTCAAATTTAAATTCCCCCAACATTCACTTGAATTCTCTCAACATTCACTCAACATCAATCAACATCACTCAACTTCTCTCAACATTCACAAAAAATTTACTTAACATTACTTTAAAATTCATCCCAAATTCTCTCACATTCACCCAAAATTCACCAAAATTACCCCAAAATTCATCACATTCGCTCAAAAAACCAAAATTAACTTAACTTTCACTCAACATTCAATAGCATTCCCTCGATTCTCTCAAAATTGACCCACATTCACCATATTTACCCCAAAATTCACCAAATTCATCAACATTCTCCAATTTTTTAACTTCACGAATTCACCCAACATTCATTTAACATTCGCCAACATTTACTCATCCTCACCCCCTTCACCCAACCACTCAACATTCACCCAATTTACTCAAATTCATCAACTTCACCCAACATTCACCCCAAATTACCAAAATTCACCCCCCAAAATTTACTCAACATTATTCAACATTCACCCAACATTTACCCCAAAATTCTTTAACATTCCCCCCCCCAACATTCGCCCGAACATTCACCCAAAAATTCACCAAAAATTCACCCAACACTCACCCAACATTCACCAACATTTACTCAACATTCACCCCAAATTCCCCCCAACATTACTCAACATTCACTAACATTCCTCAACTTCCCCAACATTCACTCAACATTCACCCAACTTCACCCAACATTATTCAACATTCACCCAAACTTCAAAAATTTACCTAACATTCACTGAACATTTCCCCAACATTCATCACCATTCACTAACATTCCCCCAAAATTCACCCAACATTAACTCAATATTCACAAACATTCACTCAACTTCACTAAACATTCATTAAATTCCCCTAACATCACCCCAACATTCACCAAAAATTTCCCCCAACATTCATCAACATTCACTAAAAATTCACCCAAAAATTCACTCACATTCACCCAACATTCATCAAAATCCCCCAAAATTCATTAACATTTACTCAACATTCACCCAATATTCACCCAAATTTTCAACATTTACCCAAAAATTCATCCAACATTTACCAACATTTTTGCAGATTTACCACACTCACTAACATTCACCCAAGTCATCAACATTCCCATTTACCCCAAAATTCCTAAGCTTCACTAAAAAAAATTCACCCAAAATTCATTTAACTTTTTTTCAACATTCACCCAACATTACTCAACAATGTTCAACATTCCTCAACATTCAACCATATTTACCCAACTTTTCCCCGCTTCCCCAACATAACCCCTTAACATTCATTAACATTCACCCAACTTCACTTGACATTTTCTCAACATTCACTCAACACTCACCAAAAATTCATCAACATTCTCTCAACATTCACCAAAAATTTACTTCATTCCCTAACATTATCCCAAATTCTTCAATATTAAACCAAAATTCACCCCAAAATTCACCCAACATTCACCAACATTCGTAACAACACCAACAATAACTTTAAATTTCACTCACATTCACACAGCATTCACTCAACATTACTCAACATTACTCAAACAATCACTCAACATTCCTCAACTTGACCCAACGTTCCTCAATATTTACCCAACATTCACCAAATTCACTCAAATTTATCCAACATTCACTCAAAAATTCACGGAAATTCACCCCAAATTATTCAACATTCGCCCAACATTTATCTCTTTTACCCCAACATTCACCCCAACAATCAACATTCACCCAAATTTACTCAACATTCGTCAAAAAATTCACCCAACATTCACCCAACATTTTATTCAACATTTTACCCAACATTCGCCCCCAAAATTCACCCCAAAATTTTCTCAAAATTACCCAAATTCACCCCCAAAATTCCCCAACATTCACTCAACATTCAAACCCCCAAAATTCACCCAACATTTACTCAACATTCATAACATTCACTAACATTCACCCCAAAATTCACTCAACATTCACCCAACATTACTCAAAACATTCCCCCCAACATTCACCAACATTCACCCCCAAATTCACTCAACATTACCCCCCAAAATTCACCCAACATTCGCTCAAAAAATTCACTAAACACACCAACTTCACTCAACATCCCCTAACTTCACTCAAAATTTCACCAAATTAAAACATTTCCCCATTAATTCAACATTTACTAACATTCATCAAAACCTTTTACTAAAATTCATCCACCAACATTCAAACATTCACCAAATTCATCAAATTCCCAAAACATTTATAAAATCCAAAAAAATTCCTCCATTCCCTAAACATTCACACCCTTCATTTAACATTCACCAAACACTCCCCCAATTTTCACCAAATTCACGCAACTTCACTAAAACATTCACTCAACATTCATCAACATTCACTAAACATTCGCCCAACATTCACTCAACATTCACCCAACATTCACTTAACATTCATTCAACATTCGCCCAACATTCACTCAACGTTCACCAACATTCACCCAACATTTGCTTAACATTCACCCAACATTCACTTAACATTTACCAACATTCACCCAACATTCACTTAACATTCACGCAACATTCGCCCAACATTCACCCAACATTCACCCAACATTCACCCAACATTCACCAGGTGGTGGAAGTAGAGGTGGAGCTAACCACTAGCCACCTGGGATTCTTCGAGTTCCGTCTGTGTGTGAACAACGCCCCGGACAAGTACATAGAACAGGAGTGCCTGGACCAGCACCTCCTCCAGCTTGCTGATGGCACTGGCACTCGCTTCCCCATACCATACTTATTGGTGAGTACTAGTGCCTCTGACGAGTACACACTCTCTGTGGAGCTTTGAGCTTATTGTAAAGCTCTGGGTAGCGCTTTGAGGTCGTTATGAAGCGCTGGCTGGCGCTTTGTAGTCGTAAAGCTCTAGGTCTTTTTTTTGTATAAAGCTCCTTTAAGTGCTTTAATTTCATGAAAATCTCTGGGTAGTCTTTAAGGTCATTATAAAGCTCTGTGTAGTGCTTTACTATCATTATAAAGCTCTATAGTCAGCCCAGCATAGAGGTTTATTAAGGTTTTGTTATCCTGTGTTATCTTGTGCTGTTATATTTGATCTTATCCTGTTATATCTTACGCTGTCTTGGGCTGTGTTTATCATATTTTACCTTTAATCCTGTGTTATATCTTAAGTTATCCTGTGTTATCATGCCTTGTTATATTATCTTGTCCTTTTGTTATTTGCAGGATGCCATTAACCTCACAATTCCTGTTATCCTGCCGGAGGACCTGATGTGTACACAGTGTGTGTTCCAGTGGCACTACAACTGTGGTGAGTGTACATATGTGTAGACACACACACGAATGCACTTGCACACACATACATGAATGCACGTGAACACACATGAATACACATGTACACACATGTGTAAGAGCACAAAACACACACACACACACTAGAAGAGCTTGGAAGGAAGGTGGAGGGGAAGTTAGCCGCAGAGAGCAGAAATTGGGAGCAACATGCCATAGTAGCAGAAGCCAAGATACAGAGCATAGAAGAGGAGCTGAGAAATCTGAAACAGCCTAGAGAAAAAATAACAATACAGACATAGCATCAGGAACATCTACATCAGACACAGACAAAGGGACTGGAGGGACCAAGGAAGCTATACTGTATGCAAAAGTCCTGTCAGACCCACATGGGGACAAGACAATGACAGGGAGTACAGTAGGATCAAATGAGAGGTCAGACGACATTGAAGGAGCTATTACATATGCTGGGACTCTACAAGACACTTGTAGGGGCCAGGAACAGATGAGCAGGAAAGACAGACCAATGAGCATAGGGGCCTCAGCTAGGGAAGGGATTGAAGGAACACTCCAAGGAAAGGAACTAAAATGCCTCAGAGGACAAAATGGGAGACACAGTGGGAGGAAGAAAGGGAGAGATCAGTTTTTGTCTATGGGCTCCAGGAAGCCGAAGGGGAAACCTATGATGAAAGAAAACAGGAGGAGGAAAAAAACGATTGAAGGTATCATGAAGGTGATAGGCAAGGGCGACATGACCCAGGTGACAAATTTTCAGAGAATTGGGTGGTTCGCAAGAGGAAGGAAACGGCCTCTCAACGTAATTTTCAAGGCAGAATCAACTCGAACCATGATCCTGCAGGAGAAAGCATGGCTCAGAGACAAAGCAGAGCTCCAGAGTGTGTACCTTGATTGAGACAGAGCACAACAGGAAAGGATGATACTGAAAGAGAGAGTGCAAAAGCGAAAGGAGGAATGGGAGGAAATGACCAAGAAAAGCAAAATAACCCAGGCACAGGTGGAAGGGCAAACCCACGACAGCCCCAAGGCAACTGAACAATCTAAACCAGCAATCACACACCGATCCCTCTGTCTCCACCCCCCACACCACGAACCGTACCCCTACAGCAACCCCCTATTGGAACTCTGCCTCCACCCCAACCGCAACCTTCCATAAGCCCCTGCCAGGGCTCCTGTACTTCCAACCCCAATATTGCACCAGGACCACAGTTTCAGAACAGAAGTTGAAGGTTTGGTACACGAATGCTTGTGGATTAACCAATAAATGTGAGGAGTGGCATGAAAGAATCAATGAAAAGTCCCCATACATCATAGCAGTTACAGAAATGTAACTCACTGAGACAATAACAGATGCAATCTTCCCAGCAAGATATCAGTTCATGAGGAAAGATAGAAGGGGCAGAGGGGGAGGAGGGGGTTGAACTGCTCGTAAAAAACTGATGGAAGTTCGAGAAAATGGGAGGCATGGATGAGATTGGAGGAAGGGACTACATAGTAGGTACACCTCAGTTTGGGGAGCACAAGGTAGTCATTGCAGTGATGTATAATCCACCACAGAACTGCAGGAGGATAAGAGAGGAATATGAGAGAGCAAGAGAGCAATGGTGGACACACTGGCTGAGGTGTCAAGAAAAGCTCACTCGAGCAGAGCAAAGTTACTGGTTATGGGCTATTTCAACCACAGGGAGATTGATTGGGAAAATCTGGAGCCACACGGGGGTTCCGAAACGTGGAGAGCCGAGATGATGGATGTGGTATTGGAAAACTTTATGCAACAACATGTTAAGGAGAGTACCAGAATGAGAAAGGAAGATGAACCAGCAAGACTGGACATTGTGTTCACCCTGGGCAGTTCAGACATTGAGGAGATCTCATATGAGAGCCCCCTAGGAGTTAGTGACCACGTGGTTCTGTGCTTTGAATACATAGTAGAGTTACAAGTGGAGAGGGTAACAGGAGTTGAATGGGAAAAGCCAGACTATAAAAGAGGGGTCTACATAGGTTTGAGGAACTTCCTGCAGGAGGTTCAGTGGGACAGAGAACTGGTAGGAAAGTCAATAAACTAAATAATGTAATAAAGTTGGTAGAATTACCGACAATATGTCAAGTAAAAGGACACAAGTGCAACTAATGTGACATTTTATTGTGGCAACGTTTCGCTCTCCAGGAGCTTTATCAAGCCATTACAAACAATACATGTACACAGAGGGTATATAAAGGCTCAGAGTGAGGTGCAATACTAGTGAGGTACCATTTAGATGTTCACTAGTGGTAGTAGTAGTAGTAGTAGTAGTGACAAAAGTAGTAGTAGTAATACAATATGGTAGAGCAATTAATTCGTACATGAGTAAAAGGATATAAAAGCTATTACTTGGGTAACATAAAAATAGGTTGGACAAATATAGACTGGAAAGAGGCAGCTTGTTTCAGTGTTCACTCTCTGTAATGTGCTTTGTGTAGTATAACAGGAGAGACTATGTGATTCAGAGACGCCCAATTAGTGATTAAAGAAACTAATTTCCGCAGACGCAAGTGCCTCGAATCAGCACTGATCGCTGTTTCGAATACAATTAAACAAAACAACGGCAGCTTCACCATCTCTGAAGTCTTAGCAAGAATCCTCCTGAAAACAGTAAACCCTGCCATCACATAGTGTCTCTCCTGTTATACTACACAAGCACATTACAGAGAGTGAACACTGAAACAAGCTGCCTCTTTCCAGTCTGTATTTGTCCAACCTATTTTTATGTTACCCAATTAATAGCTTTTATATCCTTTTACTCATGTACGAATTAATTGCTCTACCATATTGTATTACTACTACTACTTTTGTCACTACTACTACTACTACTACTTACTACTACTACTACTACTACCACTAGTGAACATCTAAATGTTACCTCACTAGTACTGCACCTCACTCTGAGCCTTTATATACCCTCTGTGTCCATGTATTGTTTGTAATGGCTTGATAAAGCTCCTGGAGAGCGAAACGTTGCCACAATAAAATGTCACATTAGTTGCACTTGTGTCCTTTTACTTTACAAACTAAATAATGGAATACATAACAACAAAATGCAAGGAGCCAGAGGAAAGGTTTGTTCCCAAGGGCAACAGAAATATTGGGAAGACCAGAACGAGCCCCTGGTTTACCACACAGTGTAAAGAGGCAAAAACTAAGTGCAATAGAGAATGGAAAAAGTACAGAAGCCATAGAACACATGAAAATAGGGAGACTAGTCACAGAGACAGGAACGAGTATGCACAGGTAAGGAGGGGGGCCAGCGACAGTATGAAAATAACATAGCATTGAAAGTTAAGTCTGACCCAAAACTGTTGTATAGCCACATTAGGAGGAAGGCAACAGTCAAAGATCAGGTGATCAGGCTGAGAACAGAAGGAGGGGAACTCACAAGAAACGATCAGGAGGTATGTGAGGAGCTAAACAGGAGATTTAGGAAGTATTACAGAGAAAAGGAAGGACTCTGGAAGACCAAGGAGAGAGTATAATACCGAGTACATCGCCAGAAGCACACATCAACCAGATAACTGCTGCGGCATATGGGCGCTTGGTAAACCTGAGAACAGCATTCCGGTACCTCAGTAAGGAATCGTTCAAGACTTTATACACTGTGTACGTCAGGCCCATACTGGAGTATGCAGCACCAGTTTGGAACCCACACCTGGTCAAACACGGCAAGAAATTAGAGAAAGTGCAAAGGTTTGCAACAATGCTAGTTCCAGAGCTAAGGGAAATGTCCTATTAAGAAAGGTTAAGGAAAATCGGTCTCACAACACTGGAGGACCCTCTCAGGGGAGACATGACAACGACATACAAAATACTGCTTGCAATAGACAAGGTGGACAGAGACAGGATGTTCCAGAGGTGGGACACAGGAACAAAAGGGTCACAATTGGAAGCTGAAGACTCAGATGAGTCAAAGGGATGTTAGGAAGTATTTCTTCAGTCATAGAGTAATTAGGAAGTGGAATATTCTGGCAAGCGATGTAGTGGAGGCAGGAACTATACATAGTTTTAAGACGAGGTATGATAAAGCTCATGGAGCAGGGGGAGAGAGGACCTAGTAGCGGTCGGTGAAGAGGCGGGGCCAGGAGCTGAGTCTCGACCCCTGCAACCACAATTAGGTGAGTACACACGCATGCACACAAACACACTGCACACACACACATACACATGTGCACACAAGTACTTACACATATGAACATGCAAGCACTTACAGGCAAGTACACACACACACAGGACGAAAGAAGCCATATTACAAGAAAGGGACTACACAGGCATGAAGAATTTCCTGCACTGGGTTCAGTGGCAGGGAAGTCAGTAAACCAGACGATGAAATATGTGACAAAGATATGCAAGGAAGCATATCGTTATTTCTGTTACCCAAGGGTAACAGAAATAACAAGAAAGCGAGGATGAGCCCTTGGTTCACCCAAAGGTATAGAGAGGCCGCAACC